CATCTCAAGCAAGTTTCCAATGATTTTGCTTTAAAAATTCACACCCTGGTCCGAATGTATTCTTTTTGGAAATCCATAAATGCAAAATAAATCATTCCAAAGGCGACGGGCAACTTGTTTTGCAAACTGGTTGTGACCGGGGAAGGTGTGTGCCATTTGAGAGAAATTATCTGTCACTACTAAGACATTACTAAATGCCTACAGCAATGTTGTAGTTAGGCCCCTCTGACGTCACAAAATGAAGTATTTCTCTCTAGAAAGTTACTTAAAAATTAAGAACTATACTCAAATATATTTAATTTGTCAAAACAAACAAATAATAAATGATAAAACTCTTAAATAAGTGACAAAATATAAAGAATTTAATTAGAATAGATTTAGAAGTCAGACAGCTCAAGGAAGTCGATTTCAGAATATGAGGTATTCACACACTTACATGTGTTGATTATGACACAGTTTAGCCCAAAAAAGGCAATATCTCAAATGACAGAGTTACTGAATTGATCTCCGTATCAAAAACACTCAGAATGAATTGAGCAAATGAACTCGCATGGAACGAAATGTACTAACTTACTCACTTTGAGAATCAGAATATCACTTTGAATATTCAGTTTTTTTAAGCGCGTTGAATAACACAATATGAACCAATGTTAAACACTTGTGGGCCCACTCACACACAAACCGGTAATTAAAACCCACCCGTTGCAGGCCTGGATCGTAGCTCGTGTTTGTGGGGGCCAGAGAAACTGAAAATTGGCCCCTTCACTCTCCTGAGCACAAATAAATCAACATTAATAACTCAATTTCGTGTGAGATGAAAACTGCGATTGGGATCCTGTGTTAGGCCTCCCGCAGCTCCTCGGTCTCTCTCTCCGTCGTCAGCCAACAAAACGCACCTCCCACATAGCCAGAGGAACCCCAAATAACGCGGGTACTTTAGGTGCTATCTGGTCCTCAAGGTCTCCATCGTCGTGCAGGAAACAACTAATTTTTCAATCTTTCAATCTCTCACTGTTTAAACGCTCCTTTAACTCACAGTTCAGTTTAGATGAGTAAATATATGAACTGATAGTAGAACAGTCCGTAATCACACTTGACTGGCAAATTAAGGACACCAGGATGTCATATAAAACACTCGCGTCTAGCGACAAACTCAAAATAAACACAAAAGAACAATAATTGTGTTTCACACGCGATCTGTATTACAGTTTGATATTTTAACTAGTAAATGATTAATAACTTCATTACTGCCGGCAGCGCGTCTCACACCTTCGCGTCTTTTTTCATCTGCCCCATATCCCCCTCCTCTGACTTGTCAATCAACCTTCTCAACAACCGATCACACTACACAACACCTAACTAAGGGCGGGACTTAACACTCAAAAAACCAATAGAAATAAAGGAAACCTAACTTGCTCGTTAATAGCATGTTTAACATGTCATGGAGGCCGTGAAAGGACAGACAGTGAGGTGTGTTTCACACGCGATCTGTATTACAGTTTGATATTTTAACTAGTAAATGATTAATAACTTCATTACTGCCGGCAGCGCGTCTCACACCTTCGCGTCTTTTTTCATCTGCCCCATATCCCCCTCCTCTGACTTGTCAATCAACCTTCTCAACAACCGATCACACTACACAACACCTAACTAAGGGCGGGACTTAACACTCAAAAAACCAATAGAAATAAAGGAAACCTAACTTGCTCGTTAATAGCATGTTTAACATGTCATGGAGGCCGTGAAAGGACAGACAGTGAGTTCATGAACGGCCTCCTTGGCCGTGACAAGACAGTCTGTGAGTTTGGAAGAGGACTCTGTGGCCGTGACAGGGCAGGCAGTGAGTTCGTGAACGGCCTCCTTGGCCGTGGCAGGCCAGTCTGTGAGTTTGTGAATGGCCTCCATGGCCGTGACAAGACAGTCTGTGAGTTTGGAAGCGGATGCCACCACCTCTGGAGGTTCTGCAGCGGATGCTACCACTTCTGGAGGCCTCCAAGGAGGCCATTCAAGAACTCTCTGCTTGCTCCGTCACAGTCAAGGTGTCTGTCCATGTCTCTGCTCTGCCATGGCTCCCCACTCTGCCATGGCTGCCCGATCTGCCTGCTCCGCCATGACTCCCCGCTCTGCCTGCTCCGCTTCATTGGCCTGGCCCTCCATCCCACCCCCTGGACCACCTCCAGTCCTCCACCCTCCTGAATGTTTTGTTGTGTTGGTTGGGGCGGATGTTGCATTAGGGCGTCAGGACGTCAGCCCTTAGAGGGGGGATATGTAATGTGGTGTTTTGGGTTGTGTTTCTTGTTCATGTTTTCATGTCTTTTATTTTGGAGTTTAGTCATGGTCCCTCTTTGTGTCATGCTTCCCTTGCCCTCATGTATTCATGCCATTGGTTCTCTTGTTCATTGTGTCATGTTCTGATTGGTATTGAAGTTGTAACCCGCTGTCTGTGAGTCTAGTCTGTTTGTGCCTAGTCAAATCTGTTCATGCCCAGTCAAGTCAAGTCAAGTCAAGTCTGTGTTTCTAGTCTTCATTTATTGTTTGAATGTTTGGATCACGTCTGTGAATAAACTGCACGTGGGTTCTTCATTACGCTCGCCTTCAGTGGACTGATTCGTTACAATTTCAAAACACATTCTCATGTTAGCAGAGAGATTACGCTTTCACATGTGACCAACAATTCCACAACAAATATAAAATATCATAATGAAATATTATCAAAATATTCAACTGACGGAGGTGAGAGAACTGACGGAGTTGATACATCTGATGGTGGTGACGAAAACCTGAATTTGTAGTCATTTTAATCAAATACATTGAAACAATCAATTACTGTATTAAAGCAAACAACAAACAGTGATTATGTTATTGTTTATAAAGCTTTTATTCAAGTCACATTTAAGTATTTTGATATATCATTGGAACACAAAATATTAACTTTCACCCCGAAAAGGAGCTAATGAAAAAAATTATATAACTTAAAATTCTTATTAGTAGACATCTAATAAATAGCCCAAAACACTTTTTTTTTTAATGTATGTTTTATATAAAACTCTACAGTTGAGCTGTCAGTCCATGTTAAATCTTGGAAAATTGGATACATTTCATAACCTTCAGGGTCCACAAAGATAAAAAATTATATTGAAGCGTTTCTATAATATATATAGACGTATGGCAATATATATGTTATGTGATTTGTCATTTGTCAACTGTACGGTCACGCATGATTTTGTATAATTATGGTAAATAAACATTTTTGCATTTCTCATATATTTTGCTATATTTCTGTTCTTTAACCTCTACCCTATTCACAACAACATTATGGTTTCATCCCTTCTTCCTTGATTGCTTGTTTGAGCCTATTATCTGATGACTGACCAGCACCGTTCTCCCTTCTGTGTGACTGACTGAAGTTTGTAAACTGCTGCTGTCACTTGAAAACTGGAAATTCCCAAACCCCCGTGTCAACAGCAGACACAGAGATGGGGCAATAAGCTGTGGAAAGATTGCTCTCTCGTCTCTTCCTTTTGATAGATTTATCTCCTATAAAATTAAGCTCAGCCATACGGTAGAGATATCAGTTAAAGGGATATATGGTGGCGATATCTGACGGTGTTGACAAATTTGGCATTTCTTTCACAAAACAAACGGAGTTCATGTAGTCGCCATTTTGGGTTTTTTTTCTGTTGATGCTAGATGCTAATAGAACCTGCTTCAGGAGAAGAAAATTATCTAAATATTTCAAATAATTTGCTCAGAAATTGGAAGAAAGTGAAAAAAAGTGGAAGTGACATGTGGCCAAGTATGGTGCTCGGAATTAGTGCTCTGCATTTAACCCATCCAAAGTGTAACACACACCGTGAACACACACCCGGGGAGCAGTTGGGGGTTCGGTGTCTTGCTCAAGGGCTCCTCAGTCGTGGTATTGAAGGTGGAAGAGAGCGCTGTACATTCCCCCCCCCCCCCTACAATCCCTGCCAGTACGAGACTCAAACCCGCAACCTTTGAGTTACGAGTCCGACTCTCTAACCATTAGGCCACGACTACCATTAACATTAGGATTTAAAATGTTCTAAAACTATAAAACTGACCAGAGTCTGCCTGACACTGATGTACTCTGCAGAGGTGAATGTTGTCATCATTTACTCACCCTCATGTCGTTCCAAACCCGTATGAGTTGCTTTCTTATGTTGAACACAAAAGAAGATATTCTGAAGATTGCTGGTAATTAACTCTTTATTGTTAAGTTTTTACTATTTAAATGTTTTTTTTTGTTCTCATGTCAGATATGTATGTATGTATGCATGCATGTATGTACCAGGAGCACCTTAAAAAAAACACAACAAATTCCTCGTGTGTTTGCACACACCTGGCGAATAAAGCTGATTCTGATTCTGCAATCAAACAGTTGATGGTTGCCATTGACTTCCACAGTATTTTTTCCCCCTACTATGGAAGTCAATGGCAACCGCCAACTGTTTGATTACCAGCAATCTTCAAAATATCTTCTTTTATGTTCAACAACCGAATTTTAAACTCTAAGAAATTCATACAGGTTTGGAACGACATGAGGGTGAGTAAATGATGACAAAATTTTCATTTTTGGGTGAACTATTCCTTTATTAAGCTAGTCCCAGACTAAAATGCATGTTTGAGCGGTCTCATCTGAAAATATCTTGCTCTGACATATCTTAAAATGTGTCAGTGTCATTGTTCTGTGTCAAGATGCACACCTGTAATGTCTTCTTCTAAGGCATTTTTGTAAAAGTTGCTTAAATATCTTAATTTAACTCAGGCCTAGTCCTGGCTTAAGCTAAGCCCCGTTTGTGAAACCGGGCCTTGTTGTGTTTAATAGTGATGTTTTAATGTACTGTGAAGTTAACTTAAAAATCGCATATCTTAGCCTTGTGTAAATATAAGAAAGTAACAATTCATTTGCCCTTTTCAATGCATCTACAGTTAACAAATCCAAATGTTTTCTGTGTTCAGGGTCATTAATGACATTCTCCGGTTGTTTTCTGAACAAAGAGGCTCGTCCGCTTCATCCCTGTAGCGCTGCATTAACAGTCGACCAATCAGAGAGCGAGAATCCGCCCCGGCCTGTTTAAATATTCATGAGCCGTTGGCGAGATCACCAATCAGCGCGTTCCTCATGAATATGTGAGTGCTTATCGCAGTACACTGGAGTGGAGTCGCTACGGCGCTGTGTGTTTTCTCAAACAGAAACGGGAGGACTGACGGATACAAGCGACGTGTGTGTATTTTCTCGGATAATATCGCGCTAATCATGCCCGGACAGGCGTCGGTGGCCATCGGCTCGCAGAAGTCGTCCGCTTTTGTTTTGAAGAAGATCATGAATATTCCTCCTCCGAACATACTGGAGGATCAAGACGACGGTAAGAAGCATAAACCTGCCAAAACGCAACTCGACGCGCTCAAAGCGTTCCGTTTAGTAGTCGTGCGCACGCGTCACCTCCAGCTGCGCGCTCATTGGTCGCCCAAAAGAACAGAAAGTTCCCGCAGACAAAGAGTGCTGCTTAATCGACGATGCATGCATTTTTATATATTTACGTTTTTGCATGGTGGTTACTTCAAAAATACCACGATGCAGGTGTCTACCTATATCTGTGCATTGAAGAACATCGAATTGAAGAAGTTGTGTTTAGTGTTAACACATGTAGAATGGCTAAAATCCTAAAAACAATGGTGAAATTGTGTATCAGACGATGTGTGGAAGTACCATGGTATTCTTTGAAAAGCCTTTGTGTACCATAAAAATGCCATGGTACAAGAATTATATATAAACACCATCAATATAATGTGTAATGTATTGGTCAGAATGAAACAATTTACCTGATTCATTCCATATGGTGCATTTACGTGGGACCTCAGTGAAGATTTCTAAAGTGTCTGCTAAATCATAATCATATTAATAATGGAGAAGTAGTTATTTATCACGTTTTATAGACATGCAGTGTGTCCATCTTGGTCCTCTTACCATGTGAAAGACTGACCTGCCGTTTATGGACATAATATTGTGATCATCTTGCGTTATAATGACCCACATTAGGGCATCTCTTGGCTTGCCAATCCGTTCAACTCTTTTCTCATCCTTTCCGACTTTTAAACCAATAACTAACACAGCTAGACGCACTGATAGGTGCCATGCGAACAGTTTATTTATACTGCAGAAAATTAGAGTGAAGTTGGGTGTCTGAAGGTCTGAATTTCA